AATATGGGTGGGGAAAATGGTGGAAAAAACAGGGAGGGAATGGAGGGAAAAAAGGGGGAAAGGGGAAGAAAAAAAGGAGAAGGAGGGGAAAAAAAGGAGAGGAGGGACAAAAGTGGGAAGGGGGGGAAACAAGGGAAAAGGCACAGGGAAAAGCCTCTCCAAGCCCCTGTCAAACACCAAAGGAGTCGGAGCAAATCCAGGTGGAGTCTGTACTTAACTCTCCACAAAAAACTGGGAATTCTGAAGTAGGAAGTTGGGGCCTTGCCAGAGCAGCTCCGCTCCCAGCCCCTCTCCACAGGTTCCCTGGCCTGGAACAGGGCACACACATCCCAAAAGAAAGAGGAGGAAGGAGCCACCACTCCCAAGGGAATCCACGCCCACTTACTGCCTCGGTGTAGGCCTCGCTGTTCTGCTCCTCGTGGGCTTCCAGCAGTTTCTAGGAAAACACCGGGAAAAATGCGGGAATGCTCTGTCAGTGCACGTTCCCACTCCAGCACCTCATCCCAGGGAACGGGGAAAACACACAGCTCAGGGCCCAACCCAGGGCACAGCGAGGCTGATGCCCTCTAAAATGGTGGGAAAAGTGAGAAAAATCATGGAGAAGTGCCCAAGCACCCTGGTTTACTCACTTTCAATAGCTTGCATTCCCGGGAATCTGTGAACGCCGGGAACATTTCTTCGTATTTCTCCAGCGCGAGCTGGAAGAGAGAAGAGAACCCTTCACACACAATTCCCTTTTTTTTTTTTTTTTTTTTTTTTGGGATTTGCCTTCCCATCCTCAAACTTGGGAAAGTATCCACCAGAATTCCAAGGGAGCAGGAATTCTGGGATAACCGACCTTGGCATTCAGCTCGTCCACGATGAAGTGGCAAAGGGCGGCTTTGAAGAAATATTCCTTGGCGCTGTACTTGAGCAGAGGGTTATCCATCGTGTTTGTCCCCACCTGGACGCAAAACAAGACGTGGAAAAAGGGTTGGGAAAAGGAAAGCCTGGATTAAAACCAGGGCAGCCAATTAAAATTCCACCCGGCTGCGAATGAAACACGCGGGAAAAATGCTGGTGGTTGTTGGGAATCAGGGAGGTTTTAACTCATCCCAAGGGAAGTCGGATCCCACCAGGCTGGGGGGGGTGTATCCTGGCTGAGGAGGAAAGGGGAAAACGAATTCATTTGGGAAAAACCTGCTGCAATATAAACCCTCTGGAAGCAGGAAGGCAGCACTGTGGGTATTCCCAGGGAAATATCCTGCACAGAGTTGATAAATCTGGGGCGGGGGGGGGGAATTTGCTGCCGAATGGACTCGTAAATACCATCCAAAGTGGAATACTTACAGCCTTCTCCCAGCCTTTTGCTGGATACAACAGCAAAAATGGTGGATGTGGCACTTGGGGGACAGTTGGACTCCGATCTCAGAGGGCTTTCCCAACCCAAACAATCCCACGATTCCAGGCCTCGGCAACTTTGCGAGCCCCGCCCACCGAGCCGCTCTCCCTTGGGAGCAGGTTTTGTATCCCACGGGATGGAGCAGCTGCTCCTCACCTGCTCGTAGATCTCAATGGCCTTCTGGTACTGCTCCAGCTGCGCTGCGTAGGCCGCCACCTTCAGCAGACACTTGTTGGCTGAGCTGCAAATCCACATCCCAGAAATCACTCCCTGTGTCCTGGGAATACACCAGCCCACGCCCCAGCACCACCTCTGCCCCTCCACGTAGGGAAAACTGGGAGCCAGCAGCTGGGATTTAGAGGAATTCCCTTTGTAACAGCCCCCCTTGGTTCTGGGATGCCCGGGATGGATCCCTGCTCCAGCCCTTCCCGCCGATCCCGACCACTTGCCTGTTGGACTCCTCTCCTTTGTAATAATCCGCGGCCTGTTCGTAGTGAGCGATGGCCTGGGGACAGAAACACCGGGATCAGCATTCCTGGGATCAGTCATCCTGGGACCAGTCACCCCAGGGAACAGCCCTGGAGAGGCGGCACTGGCACTCATGGAGATAAATGGGATGATCCAGCAGAGTGGAGCCAAGGAAACAAATCATTCCCGAGAAAATAACACCTAAATCCCCCCGATTTTCATCTGGCAAACTTCCAGCAGGAGATCTGCAGCGGGATTCCTGCTCAGGGAGCTTGGGAATGGCAATGAGGGAGTCAGTGCTCCACTGTGAGCTGGAAATGACAGAAATAGCTCTAAAACTGCCCCACAGCACTCCCAAAGCATTTTTCCGACAACAAACACAGTTTCAGTCGTGTGGATTCCCACTGGAGCAGCAGCATTGGCACAGGAGAGGCTCGGGATTGCTCTGTTAAATGCCCTGTGCTGGGAAAACCACTGACTCCAAGTCATGGCTGGACTGCACCTACCTGAGGAATCCCCAGTGCCAGATGCTGGGAGTTACTGGCTCTGCTCAGCTCGGGGCAAGGAAATCACACAACCCTGGAATGGTTTGGGCTGGGACACCTTCCACTAGCCCAGGCTGCTCCAAGCTCCGCCCAGCCCGGAGGAGCTGGACACCCCTGGACGCTTCCAGGGATGGGGAATCCACAGGTTTCTCAGGGAAGGCTGTGCCAGGGCCTCACCTTCTCGATGTCGACCAGCTCGGCCTCGTAGATCTCGGCGATGGTGATGTGGTGCTTGGCGGCGATGGTGAAGCGTCCCTAGGGAAGGGAAGGGAAGGGAGGGGAGGGGAAGGGAAGGGGCAGGAGAGGGAGGGAAGGGGCTGTGAGGCGGGATCATCGGCGTTGGCCCCGCGCAGTGCCGGGGGGGGCCCTTACCATGTCGGTGTAGATGTCGATGGCTGCGTTTAAGCAGTTGATGGCCTCTGGAGCGTGTGCGGAGAGACAACAGCGTCAGCCAGCCCGGCCCGCGCCTCCCAGCCCCGTTCCCAGCTGGAATGGCCCTCCACGCGCTGGGGAACACCTCCTGGCACCCCTGTGCCCGCACCTCCCGCCTGCAGCCCCCGACCCGCGGCCCTGCCCGCCCCCACCCGCTCTGCCAGTCAGCAATTCCCAAGGGGAATGCTCAAACGGTGGGATGGGCCAGCCACAAACCAGCTGCATCCCGGGTTTGTCGCTCTGGCGGAGCCCCAGTCCTGGGGGTTGCCATTCCCTTGGGAATTCAGGGGGTTTTCTGCCATAAGGGGGTTTTACCCACCCTGAGTTTGTTCCATCGGCCCCCAGCAGAGGAAAACAGGGATAATGCTGGGGGGAAGGTGGGGGTTTTTGCTTCCACACCCTGAGCTAGGGAGAGGGGAATCGGAGCCCTTCCCAAAAAGCACAACCCTGCTCTTTGCAGTCAGCTTTAAGGAATCCCAGATCCTTTATTCTCCTCATCCCAGCAAAGGTCAGGAGCGGGGAAAGCCCCAGGGACGAGGCAGGGATCCCACTGGGATCCAGTCCAGCCACCTGCCTGAAGCATTCCAAGAAGCCACTGTGTCCCTCAAGCCAAGCCAAACCAGGATGGAAACTGCCGAGGGGGCAGCACTTCCCGACCCACAGGGCATCCCAAACCCCGGCAAAACTTTGGCACAGCCAAGAGGAGATGCCAGGACCTGCTGGCATCACCCCAAAGCCTCTTCCAGAGAGGCAGGAGTGCTCCTCCGCTGCCACCGAGCGCCTGGCTGGGAACAATCCCGGATTCCGCTCCCGGATCCCGCTCCCTTACCTTGCGGATCCGCTTTCTTGTAGGCATTCCCGGCATCCACGAAGCTGGTGGCCGAGTCGTGCTTGCTCTGCAGCTGCATGTGGAGCTTGGCTGCCTGGCAGAAGGCGTTCCCTGCCGCTGGGAGAGGAGGGACACGGATCCCGTGAACCCCTGGAATGAGCGGGATCGCGCCGCTTCCAGGCCCCGGGGGCTCTAGGAATGTGGGCTTCCCAGCAGGATTAGCGGCTTAAAATTCACTGAAGACCCTT